TATTTACTACTTTCTTGGATTCCCACTTAGAGAGTGGAATTCTCTTCCCTTTATTTGTAATTGGAGGTCCCATCTATAAGGAAACAGAAAGACAAATTATTCAAGACCCCGTTGCCTGCAATTACTGACCCTAAAAAGCCAAAAAGAGAAGATATGCAATCTCTCCCCTTTTGCGTTTTTCTATCTAATTTCATGAATTTTTTTCCTTGGTCAAATTTTTTAATTACATACCTATGAAATTTTCCTCCTTTTACTTGGAGGGTCCCGTTTGCATTCATTTGGAGGTCCGGTTGCCCAAGTAGCATCTTTTATGTTCTTGTTTGTGTATGTCTTGAAATTAATATTTTTAATTTAGTCAAAGTATATTATTTATATTATAATTAAAATTTTTATAAAATCTTTTTATTAACTGTTTTATAAAATTAAATTTTAGTTAATGAAATAAAAATCAAATCTTTTTATTAATTAAATCACGATGCATTGGACTTAAGTCATCTTTTGTTTTTCAAAGAAAACAACAATAAAGAAGAATTGTTGTTTTATTGTCTAAATTATATTGCATTGTATAAAAATTAGTAAATAATGAATAACTTCTAAAAGATTCAAGTTTCATAAGGTGGGTTATACATTAAAAATGTAAGAATTTATTTAAATATTTTTAATAAAATAATAAAAAAAATTTATTAAGAGTGTTTAAATAAATTTATAAGATAAACTATACTTTTAATATACTTTCAATATACAATTTGTCTTGTAAAATATTTTTTTAATTTTTAATATTAAAAAAATAAAAATAAAAATATCTTAATACTTTAAATGCCGAGATTTATTGTAAAATTATTTAAATATTTTTAATGTATCTTTTTAATGTGTTAATTTGTTAAGAATATTTTAATTTTTTTATTATCAATCTTAATATTTTAATTATTAAAATATCTTAATTTTACTTAATCCTTTAAAAATTCCATCTCATCTAATAAATTAAATTATCCACCCTAATGCAATTTGCAACACATTTTTTAAATAAGGAAATACGACAACCTACAAGTTAGACAAAATATGCAGAAATATAACTTCATATGGTGCCTTATAAACATTAGGAAATGTAATGTTTAGAATAAGCTAAGGGCAACCGTCGTTAAAAAAAAAAAAA